CATTCAGACTTCGGGTTCTGACAAGATGGTGGACTGAGCTGATGTGGGCCTCTTTCCTGACACGAACACAGAGAAATGATGGATAAAATATATGGGAAGAATATTTAAATATAAAACTGAGCATGAGAGAATAATGGGACAATGCCCAGGTAGCTGAAATAAAGAGGAAAACAAGTCAAAGCCAGAATTGTTACCATGGCAACTGGAGCTGGGATTATCAGACTCTGATATAGTTACAGGAGCTGGGATTTCAATGTCCACTGGAGGAAGAAGACCTGGCCAGGGAACTGGACTTGAGAGCCTCGCAGAAAGCCAGGAATCCAGGAAGGGCTGTTGGTCTTTATTTTATATTTTTGAAGATTTTATTTATTTGTTCTTGAGACACAGAGAGAGAGGCAGAGACTTAGGCAGAGGGAGAAGCAGGCTCCTTACAGGGAGGCCGAAATGGGACCAATCCCTGGACCAGGATCACACCCTGAGCTGAAAGCAGACGCTCAACCGCTGAGCCACCCAGGTGTCCTTGGCTGCTGGTCTTTAAACAGGGACCAGGAAGACCTTTCTCACAACCCAGAGGGTGTCTGTATGTGGTGTGGAGCACAGGTTTCTCCTTTGCAGTAAGGAGATCCCCATCTTGCGCTGCATGGGTGGGGATAGAGGCTGAATACACGCTACCCAGGTACTGAGAATCCTGAGCCAAGCAGTTCACGCCAAACCAGCTTGGCCTCTGGAGCTCCTGGGGTCTTGGCAGAACAAAGGCCAAGGTGATGAAAACACACATCCACAACCCATGGCTCCCATGGTGAAAACAATCCCTTAAGACAGTCTCTTGATAAAAAAGAACAAATCACATGAAGAAATTAACCACCATGAAGGCAAGGCAACAGACACAAGACATGGGAGAACTGGTACCCTTAAACTAGAAATAATCAAACACTCTCAAAGATGCTTTATGTGTCATCAAAATAAACGAAGAGTTGAAAGGAATAGAAATCATGATTAAAAACTAGGACACTGAAAAACAAAAAACAAAACTTAATAGGCTGATTTAAAAAAGCTCCAAATAGAAGTTCTAAATATTAAAAAAAAAAAAAAAACCTCAAGTTTGGAAGGAGTATTGAACAGGTGATTACGAATAGCTACAAGAAGATTAGTAAATTCACAGGTGTTTTTGAGGAAGTGCTGGAATACATCACTGGCAGAAAGGGAGACAGAGAAAAAGGGAAGAAAGAATAATATAGGAGGTTTCTAACAGGAGTTCTAGGAAAGATCAAAGAGAATCAAAGAGATAGCAGAGAAGAATTTCCAAAGTGAAGAATGACACTGAGTCCCCAGCAACCTGATAAAGATGAATTCACTCTCAGACTGCAGTAAGACTGCAGAACATCAAAGTCAAACATGAGGACTTAAAAGCAACCAGGAGGAAGAGCCATGCAAGGCTCCCTCAGGCAGTACAGAGGACAGGCTGGAGGTCAGAGAGCCAGAGGCAGGGAGAAGCCTTCTAGGAAGCTCCCTGTCCCCGGCAGTGGGAGGAGGGTAGTGGGGATGGAGGCAAGGGAACATTCTGGACAAAGTTCTCCTCGGAGGAGGAGCTGCAGTGAGGTCCACTATTTACACAAACTTCTCGAGGCCCTGGAGCAGGTGTAAGTCATCTTTTGTGCCCCAGTGCCCAGGACAACATGTGGTGTGGGGCAGGGGCCTGATGAATGCATAAGTGACTTCTCATGAATCACTTATTTGCCCTTTGAAGCCTTGCTTTGTGAAGAGATCTCCAAACCCCAGTGTGAGAAATGAATCTCAGAGAGTTCCGGATTCACTGGACTGCTTATTAAAGGTGGTAAAGTTTTCTGCAACAGAAAAAAAAGATCCCGGGTGGAGACTGGCAGCACTGGCCGGGGTCAGGGGAGAGGCCTCACCTCTCTTAGGTACAGATGTGACCAGCCTTTGGGAGGCTGAGGGGATAATTTGAGTGAAGAGCTTTAAAATCTAGCTCCAGGCACAACAGGGAAGCTTCTTCTAATGGCCTTGGAGTTTAAGAATATTTACCTGATGACTGTGCCCTCCAGCCCAAGAAGAGGCAGGATCCAAGTCCAGCCGGATATCAGATACAGACAAGTCCCAGGGCCTGTCCTCCCGGGAGCCCAGGGGCAAGTATGAGCCCCTTTATGCAGATGGAGAACAGGAAGCCATGGAACCAAAAATTGGGGTTATCAGGATGTTTCCAGGGAAAATAAAAAGCAGAGTGCTTATTTTCAGGGCCACTCCATTTGAAAAGAAAGCAAAAGACCACTGGGGTGAACCGTCTAACACTTTCAATAATTATTCACAACACTTTCTTTGCTGATGGACTGAATTTGGCAGAGCTGAATACTAAAATGACTCTGAATTATACTATGGGGAAATGCCCAGGTGAAAGCAGTAGTTTCAATAATTAACTGTACCAAACTAATATTCAGACTTCAAGCTAATTTCTTGCATATGTAGAACCTTCTCCTCCGTTGCTCTTGTATTCATGTTACTTGGCTGAGGCAATATGGACTCCTTAGGGCTCAGGGTGAAATACCCTCATTTCCCCCACACCACTGTTACACTAATATCGGGGTTCAGGCACTCTAGGGGAGATGACTCTAAAAGTGACCAGAGGAACCCAGACAGGGCAGAGTCCAGGGGAGAGGAGAAAGTCAGTCAAGCGCAATGCTTTGCTCCGCAATTCAGTCCTGGGCAGAGGAGGCTGCCTTTAGACAGAGTGCCTTGCCCACAGCTGGGGGCTGCCGGAGGCAGGTGCACCAGCCTCTTCCCTACTCCTACTCTGGTAGCAGCAGTCACAGCTCATGGATGCAGCCCTGCCGGTGCTGGGAAAACAGAATGGAAGTCATGAGGTAACTTTCCTGTTTGGGAAGGAGAGGAATCAATGCTTACGGTGGGCACTTTATATGCTGGGCTGTGACGATGTCTTTAACATGCTATTCCAATCCCCAGGACAATCATTCCCCCAGTTATGGCAGAAAGTATCATTAGTCCCATTGTTCTTAACACAGGAAGAAATCTGAGGCTCAGAGGTTAAGAATCTGTTCACAGATTGAGGACGAACCGCAAGACTGCCACTAAGACAAGCAAGAGAGAACCAGAGAAGGGGCATTGAGATGTCTGATTGCCATGGTTTCCCAGACTGTGGCTCCTTTCCAGTGTCCTACACAAATGCTTTCTTTTCCACGTCTCTGGGGACCAAAGCTTATCAATATTCACAACCCCTAAATTCTCCTCTTATGTCACTTATTCTGATGACATGCCAGGAGTTGGGGATCAGGTCAAGAAACAGAGCTAGGCTATTTTCCTCTCTCAGCTCCAGAGACTATCTAGGTTGTTGTCACTGCACCTCTGTACTGCGACAAACATAAAAGGAAGGAAGGCTGGTGTCGTCCTCCCAGTGAACAAAAACACTGCCAACCTTTTCCCCAAAGAGCACAGTCAAGGCAGAACTGGAGTCTTGCAACACCCCTGGGCTGAAAGATCTGTTTCTGCTGCCATGGTCTGTGTGTGTGGCGGGGGCTACCAACCATGCCATCCAGCAAGCACCAACCCAGGGAGCGCAGGGCAGCACAGACAAGCTGCTTATGACTGATGTTTCTCTTACTCCCTAGTGATGTTTGCACTTGCCACTGTGGGCTTCTCTCAGTGGTCCCCACCTCTCCCTGGACCTAGGCAGGCTGGCCCTGCTTCTCTGCTCAATTAAGCATTATGAGAAGCTGAGATGGTATCTCTGATGGCCTAGAAACCCTGAAACTTCCAGAAACAGTGCCATCCAAGAGGACAAATGATGGTGTTGAGGGCACTTGGTCAATCCTCCCTAAATGATGGATTTGGTAGCAACAACAGCTTACCATGGCATCCTCTAAAGATAAATGACAAATAAGAGTCATGCCTTGAAAGTGATACCAATGGAGATTTGGTCATGAAGGCACCAGTCTTCCACCCATAACAGAGCAAGAGTTCTTCAGGAAGACCCTTTTCTCTTCTGGAATGTAAAGGACAGTTCCACTGGCCTGTGCCTATTGGATTCTTTCCACTGGGTACAATTAACTAGCTTGGATATTTAAATAATTAGTCCTCAAGTCCAGGTTGGGACTGATCCTGTCACTGACCAGGGTTTCCAAAAGTAGCAATGTGGGACATTATTCTCTTCTCAGAGCAAATGTGATCATGGTGACTCCTCATGTGGCTGTGCCAAGTGACCTGGAGCAAGTTACTTATGATCCCTAGACTTCAGCTTCTGCAAAACCACCAGTGATAACAACAGAAGAAAACTCTTCAGGCTGCTATGAGGATTACACGGGATAACAAATGTAGAGTCCCCAGGAGTGTGCCTGCGGCCCAGCGGGTGCTCACTGGTAGCTGCCATTATCGCCCATCATCACCACTGTCACTGTCATCAGCAGGCACTTGCCACCACTTCACTGTCTCACAGATAAAAGTGCACAGTTAGAGAGGCAGTCTGTGGTGAAGAAAAGAGCTGCTGTGACAGCCTGCCAGGTGTCACCTTTTTAATGACAAGATTACCAACTTAAATCTCTGTAAGTGCCCAGAAATTCCCCAATTACAAAATTCACAAGGTAGACTAACACAACAAGACCTATTCACAGAAGTACAGTCAGACATGACAACAGCACAGGCCAGAATCACACAGTGAACCAAATTAGCCAGTGTGTCATTGTGGAGTGGGCCGGAAGTGGGGAGGGAGGTGTTCCCTAGAGGAGAGCTGAAGTCTAGAAGGGAAGGTGTGCTTCTGCATATACTTCTTAATATCTCTCATATCAGTACTTCAAGTCCTATATTTAGGAGTCAAAGAGATCTTACAGGAGAAACAGTTTTGGGCCGGCTGCTTTCCAGCTGAGTCCCCCAAAATGTGATTCCCTTCCTGACAACCCCTTTGTCAGAGAAGCCCGCTGTGAGAAAGCCCACAGGCGCTACCTCTGCAGGACGCTCTTTCCCACTGAGTGGCTTACTTGTTGCTGTCACGGTACTCATAGATGTGGCATCCTTGGGGCAATCCAGTCTCGTGATCCAGAGTGAAAGCAAGCTTTAGCTGCATAAAGAGAGAGGAGAGAAAAAATTAAGTCTAGGCAGGCATGTGCTATTCATTCTGGCCGCTGAAATGAGAAAAAAAAAGTAAAGCAAAATCGCATTCCGTCCAGCTGACATGTTGTGGAGAGCCTGGGCCTGCCACTTCTGGGCAGAGCCATGTCTTACAGAGACACCGTCATCAGTGAGGATTGTTACTGGGACTCTACTTGCTCAGTTAGCATGTAACCAATTATTTACTAGGCACTTACTCTGTGCCAGATACTGAGCTAGTGGATGGGGAAAGAACAGGGAAGAGAAGCAGAGAGGGGCCTCTTTCACGGATCTTACTGTCTGGTCGAAAAGATTGGTACCAGTCATGTACCCACACGAATGAGTGAATGAATGAATGAATACAAAACTTCCAAATAAAATACGTTCTCTGAAGCAGGAAAAAGACTCCTGCGCTTCTCCAGAAGTAAATAATCTGATCTAGACTGGGAGTGAGGGAAGGAGGAGGGAAGGATGGGGTGAGAAGGTTCTTCTTGGCACAGCACGTAAAGAGGCCCTGATGTAGGTGTCTGGGAACCAAAGGATGGCTGGTGAGCTAGAACCCAGAAGATATGGGGGCCATGGTGGGCAGTGATGCTGGAGAGGGAGGCCAAGTCAGAGCATGTAGAACCTCGCTGGCCACGTTAGGATTTGTGACCTTTACCTTGGTAAGAACGGGGTGGATGACATGATCAAAGTTATGTTTTAGCAAGATCCCTCTGGCTACTGTGTAGAGAACAGGCTGTAGAGGTGAGAGCAGAAGCAGATGCCCTGCAGGAGGCTACCAACCAAATGCAAGTGAGTGGTGGTGGGGGGCTGGGGCTACGGGGTGGAGAGGGGGCCGAGGGAGTAGTGAGAAGGAGAGAAATGGACAATTTAAGACCTACATTAGAAATACCATATGATTTCACTCATGTGGAATTTACAAAACAAAGCAGATGAACATAGCAGGGAAAGGATGGGGAGACAAACCATAAAACAGACTCTTAACTACAGGCAGGGAATGGGCTAGATGGGTGATGGGCATTAGGAGGGCACTTGAGATGAGTGTGTTTTATGTAAGTGATGAATCACAAATTCTACTCCTGAAACTAATATTACACTGTCTGTTAACTAACTAGAATTTTATTTTATTTTTTAAAGATTTTACATTTTTTTTAGAGAAAAGGGAAAGAGAGAGTGTGTGTGTGTGGGAGGGGGGTAGGCAGAGGGAGAGGGGGTGAGAGAGAGTCCCAAGCAGACTCCACATTGAGCATGGAGCCAATCTCACGACTCTGAGATCATGACCCAAGTGGAAACCAAGAGTTGGCCACCCAACCGAACTAGAATTTTAAGTAAAAAATTGAAAAAAAAAAAGTAGTTTTAGAAGTAGAGTTTATAGGATATGCTGATGGATTCCATGTTGGTGATACTGGAAAAGAAATCAAGGACATTTCAAGTTTTTGATTTGAACAATCGGGTAGGTGGCTGTTCCATTTGCTGAGTGAGGAGAATGAATCTGGGGGTGGCTAGAAAGCCAAATGTTTTATTTTGGACATGTTAACTTTGAGGCACACAGTAGCTTTCTCTGATTAGGGATGATCAGGAACAAGAATCTGGTAATGAGGTTTTGGTTTCCTTCTAGATCTTGGAGGGAAGTGCTCAGGTGAGTGCAGAACTCCTTCTGCATTGCCAGGAAGCCAGAGCTCAGGGAAGTTCTGTGTGTCCTGCTAGAGTTGAGTTGGTTATGGCAGCTTTAACATTTCTAAACCTAGTGCCAATTACTAGATTTACAAATTCACCAGGTTTTTAAATTGCCAGGGAAATTTTAACTAAAATTAACTGCACATTAGGAAGATACATTATCATAACTTTTTTTTTTTTTTTAACTGCAAGGCTGTTAACACAGATCTGCATCATTAGATGCTGGATGATTTTTCTCTTCCTGAGAGGGAAAAGAGCTTGTAGGAATGGCTTGTCCTCTTACTGACCCAGATGAAAATACAAAAACAGAAACAAGCCCTTCTTCACCATCATGAAGCCAGGAACTTCAAGTCAAAGGCATGTTTTCCCTACAGAGCACTGCTTGGATCTTCCCAGGCCTCTTTCAGTAAAACCGAAAATAATTGTTTTTTAAAAAAATCTATTAACTATACTGTTTTTTCTTTACCTCTTTCTGCAGCTGAGGCCAGGCCTATATTCATTTAGTCCATTTCAAAGACTGCTCTGCTTAGAAATTTTCAAATCCTTTGACTCAGTGACTTATGAATTTATGGCTTAGAAAAATTATCATAAATGTAAGAGGAAAAGTTTTTTTGTAAAACTGTTCATTTCAGTGTTGTTTATTGGAAAGACTCTAAACAACCAGCAATAGCTGAGGTAGGTAAACTATACCATAGTCACATGCAGAACAGCAGCCCTTAAACACTTTATGAAGAATTTTTCTTAATCTGGGAAAATATCTGGGTTAGATGGAAAAAAGCAGGATGCATACTTGATTATATGCCAAGAAAACTATGTAAAACAGAACAAAGATCATATAGAAGAAAGACTGGAAGGAAAGATGGCAACAGTGTTTCTCTCCTTTCTTTGCATTTTCCAAATTCTTTATGATAAATATGAGGAGCTATAAGCCATAGTCCTTAGTCATGGAATCATGGGAAATTTCATTCCTGAGGTCAAGAAACTATGTAAATACCAATTCAACACTTAGGTGAATGAGTAGAGGTGGTGATGGGGGTGTGGGGAAGGAACAGGCCAGAAGAGCTCTCATATTTACTGAATGGAGAACTCATATTTATTGAATGCCTACCAAGTAAAGGCTCTCCTTTACCCTGACCACAACCATTTGAATTAGGTATTATGATTTCCTTTTTATAGGGGAGAAATGAGGCTAGGAAAGGTTAAGTAGTTTGTCCAAGCCACAATTAGAATTTCAGCTAAAACCCACACTCTTTCCACCTCACTGGAATTAGAGGACTTGGTGATGGTCTGGATGTGAAGCCTGCCGAGGAGGGAGAAGTCAAAGATAATGTTTAAGGCGCTCTGCCTTGGGCAGCAGGGCAGATGGTGCTGCTACTCATTGTGACAAGGAGAAATGGCAAGTTTAGAAGGAGAACTTGAGATTTGTTTGGGATTGCTGATTCTGAGGCACCTTACTGGAGATGAATAGTAGGCAGCTTGTACAAACAATTCTGATTTTGTAGGCAAGACAGTTATCTGGAGGTACAAATTTGGAAGCCTCTGGATGGTAAGAAGGTGACTAAAGACAGTGGTGTGGCTGGGAATGTCCCAGGAAAGTATGTAGAGTGAAAATTAGGTCTTTGATAGCACAGCTGTACTTCAGAGCTGGGCATTAGAGATTAAGGAGGAAGGGCAATGGGGTTTTGACTTACGATGTTACAGGACCCAAGAGGAGAACATGTCTTAAGGAGGGAGTAGTCAGCAGCATTAAATCCTTCTAAGAGTTCAAGTAAGAGAGAAACAAGCATCCAAAACAGAGTTCATTGGATTTAGCAACAAGGACTCTCAGGAGGGTGGTGGGAGCAGAGATCAAGGTGTGTGATGGGTGAAGAATGAGTAGAAGGTAATGAGGTGGGGATCATGAATGTATGTAACTCTTTTAGTAAATTAGATGGTGGTGGGGAAGAGTCAAGATGAATGGATTGGAACAGAACGGGGCAGGAGGATGTGGGCTTAATGGAGAGTATATTGTAAGACAACAGGCTGCTTCAATGCTGATATAAAAGAAGCACTACAGAGGGCAGGCCTGAAGATACAGGAGAGATGGATATAACTAAAGAGCAAAGGTGTCCGAGATGACAGAAGGGACTGGAAACCAACATAAAAGTGGAAGACCCTTTCTGCACTGTAGCAGTAGGGAAGGCTGGGCAGGGATGCAGATCTGTGGATTGGTGGTGGCGGGGGGCGGGGGGAGGGCAGGATAGGGGATGGTGGTGGTTTGGAATGTTCCAGTCTGATTTTTGTTCTTTTCTGAGAATTAGGAGGTCAAATTATCCACAAGGAATGGAGGGTTTGGTGAGGGAAGGAAAGGAGGTTGGAGGAAAGTGATGAAGGCTTGAAATTGTTTCTTTGGAGAACAGGAAAAACCGTTGACAAGGGAAGAGCATGAGGATTGCCAGGGAGTGTTAACGGTCCAGCTGAGGCCACAGGAACTGAAGTTACTGTAGCAACCATCTGCTCAGAAGTTGATTTTTTTTCTAGCAACTTAGACATTGGCATAAAGAAAGTTAGGTTGGTCCAAAGCTGAGCATTTGCCAGGAAGGTCTGAGGGAAGAATAATGGAGCAAGGGAGTAGAGAGAGATACAATATTGGCAACAGATGGGCCAGAGACTCTAAGGGGAGATCAGGCAAGAAATAAAAACAAAAGGGGCTGACTGGAAGAATTCAACAGAAAGACCTGGGTGACCAATGTCTTGTATGGAGCTAATATTTATTGAGCACATTATTGGTCCTGAATCCTCTATTTAAATGGCCCTGTGAGGTTGGGTCCTATCTACATTACACAGGACTTTTAAGTATTTAGCTCAAGTTAGCAAGTCAGTCACAGAACTAAAGTGTGATCCACGTTGCTAACCACTGGACAAGTGTCCATGAGGTCAAGGAGAGGAACTGAGAATCGCTGTGTGAGGAATGGGAGGCACCAGAGACTACGGTCAGAGAGTAGGTCCTGTCTGACCTTGACAGAGGGCAGTCAGTCTCAAGACATGAGCAGAAGTCGAGGAATGGAGAGTCAGAGGTTCAGGTGAAAAGGTCCTCTGTGAGAGGTCTGAATTCACACAGGATGATAATATGATGTTTCCCAAACAAACTAAATCCACAAAGTGTGTCACTTTGGATGTGCAGGTATGTTTGTAGGTACCTACTATGTGCAAGGTTCAATACGTCAATGAATGAATTGAACTGGTCTATGCAGCAGACCCAGATGCATATCTAGCATTCCCTTCCTCCTTCCCAATGACATCCTCGATTTA